CAAATTTTAATTTCTTTTACATTTATCTCTACTAATTTAAAAGTGTGAATATTGTTGTAAATGTGGATAGACAAAATTACCCTTACTCTTTAAATTTTTTGATGGCTTAATTGTCATTGTTCCTTAATTATATCAATATTTCTTTTCATTTTATATTTTGGGTAATTTTTATAATAACAATTTGATTTTTACTTATAATTTTTTTATAAGTTATTAATTACTTTGTAAATTTTAATGGCTTAACATTTTGTTAACTTTCTAATTTCCTCCAATAAATTTTGGGTGAAAAAATTTCTTGCAAAAATAGTTCACTTGCTTTTTTGTGTCAATCGAAACACATGCGGATGAAAAAATTTCTTACAAAAATAGTTCACTTGCTTTTGTGTCAATCGGAACACATGCGGATGAAAAATAAATGACTATAGTGCAAAAGGCTTGTAAAACTCTTAACTAATACTAGCTTACCCACCCATACAACACACAAATTGTAGTACCATTATTAAAATAATGTATTATTAAATGAAATTTTATTATATTTTCATAATAGCAATTTGATATTTAACTTATATTATTTTATAAGTTATTAATTACTTCTACACTTTAATTTATAAAATTATATTATTATTTTTTATTTTTACTTTGAGCAAATAATACGCCTATGATTTATGAGCACCATTAGTTCTTCATTTTATTGTCATTTTTTATTTTAATGCCATGTAATTGATGTTGGAAATAGTTGTGTTTTTTATTTTTTTTTTGATCGTTAAATGTAATATATATAGATCAAAACTGAGTTCAAGGCCGGTCTACGGCGTATAAAAACGAAATGGGTAGCCACAAGCCAGTTCCTCATTCGCGAGATAAGATATACCAGTTGCTCACTCAAAAGACATTAGAAAAAGGGTCTAAAGGGACCTCGATCCATGTCGGGGGTTGGCGGAACAAGGCGCGGGTCAAATCCAAGTTGTCAAGTAGTTGCAGGCTGTCTTCATGGGTTAGCGGCGCTATGGTGCTGGTTAGCGCCGCTATGGCTGACGTGGGCGCTTCCGTGGCACGTTGGCGTGGCACGAATCTGGCAGGGGGGGATAGCGGCGCTATGGTGCGTAGCGGCGCTATGGTGACGCGTCATTAGCGACGCTAAGGCATAGCTGCGGTACAATTTCAGGCGCTGGTTGTCTGCCCGTCGTTAGTCCCTCGCTAATGGCAAAGCGGCGCTATGTTTGGATGGATAGCGGCGCGCGCCCAGGCTAGCGGCGCTATTACCTGGGCGCATATTTCCTCTTCCTCGCTATAGTGTGCTACCGGCGCTAGCAGCCGTACCATAGCGGCGCTATGCCCATAACGGCGCTAGTGCCTGGGACGCCCAAGAAATTTTCCAATTTTCTCCAATTCCACATATCCTCCCGCATTTTCCAATTTGAAATAGTTGTTTATCCCTTTTAACATATTTGTATTTGTTTTCAACATAATGTTTTTCAAACTAATTCGAGAAAAATGCACTAACATGTGGTATTTCATGTTAAATATATATTTAAGAAACTAACTTCACACACATTTTTTATTTATGTTTTCAATGTGTTACCCACTATGAGGGTCCAACCATACAATCACAAGTTAGATATTTAAGATTTATTTGGACTAAATAATATTTTTTTCTTGTTCTATTTTCATATACATATATATATATATATATATATATATATATATATATATATATATATATATATAAATATCGAAGTTTGATACTCGTACACCAAGTATCCAGAGTTGTACGTAAATACAATAAACAGACAGTAAAGAAGATTCAAACAAATACGGAAGCAGTTTTCACTAAGGATTGAACCTTCAGGAGAGCGTCCCACTCTCCCTTCAGATCTCTTTCATTAATGTGAATAACACCAACACTATTCAATGGTTTACAGTATAGACTCCCTCTACACTCTACTTGAATAGATATCCACACAACTACTTATCTGACCACAACTCCCTTGTGGATTTCTTAGTTCGAATCCCTCTAACTAAACAAAATGAACCTCTGAACACTCTGTTCCCAACTCACAGAATAATGTATGTATTATAAATCTCCCAACACTCAAATAAACAAGGAATACTCTCAAAACAAAAGAACTAATAATCTGAGGTACAAGAGTCACTCTCTACATGCGTATGGATCTCCTTTTATCCTCGAGCATCAAATGGTAAGTCTCTCCTTGTCTTTGCGTCCAAGTTATTATCTCACAAGGAAGATCTCTTCTAATTTAGGAATCCCGCGGTTTCTCTCTCTTGCGTTTAAGGAAGTTGAATCCCACACTTGATCTCATTGACCTATCAAAATAATACACACTTTATTAGTTAATTAATCTTTAATATAGAAGAGTTTTTTATTCAACTAAAAATACACTTCCCTTAATTACACTCGCAATTTTTTGATTGCTGAGAATCCGGAAGGTTCATCGATCTACTGCCAATCTTCAGAACTTACATATATGTATCTATATAAATATATTAAAAAGTATACATAAATTAATGTGTAAATTTAATTTAATTTTTAAATTTTAATGACTTGTGTTTAAATAATAATTTTATGCAACTAGGATTATTTTTTATGTAGGTTGACCAAATTAAGTGCATAAAATATTAATCATAAACTTGAAACATTAGAAAACAATTTAAGGGCATAGATCTATAGCACATGTCTATTACATTACAAAATTATTTGCTTCTATATAAAAATGTATCTTAATTTTTGTATAATGTCATATTTATAATTTAATCATCCATATAAGACACTTATTTGACCAAATTAATTAGTCATAAAATTTTCAAATATAATGACAATAATAGATTGTAAAATAATGAAAACATTAAATTGTGTATCAAATTAAAAAAAAAAAGGAAAAAAATACTTTCTAAATTTCTCCCAAAAAAAACTTTGGGTAGAAAAATTCCTTACAAAAAATATAGCAATATAGAAATTGGCTATTCCTTTTATATAGATGTAAATTGTTGGTGTAGTATTAAAATTATGAATACCGTTTGTAATTTGTATTTTTTTTTATTGCATTACTATATCCCTTCCATATAGAATAATTGGTATACTCACTGTGGCCATCTCACCCACAAGACCTGTCCTCCCCCCAGTGATGAGATCCTCGATCTTATCCGGATCGAGAATGACCCAGGTAATTTTTGGACAGTTTGCTCGAATGTTTCTGCACTCCTCCGTTTTTGTTTTAAATATTCTCTGTTAATGTTGACTCTAATTTTCCTGTCATTTTCCTGCAGAGGTGCCCAGTTTCAACATTCCGCCGAAGAGAACTCCTCAGAAGAAGAAGTCAGGGGCTATCTCTGGCTCGACCGGCGACAAGGCCGAGGGGTCAGCTGCTTCTTCTGGCTCTCGACCGGAGCCGCAGCAGCGATCACCTCATCGAGAGGCTCCATTGCCTCCGCCACCACCACAGAAAGAACAACAACATCAGCAGCCATTGCCGTAAAAACAACAGCAACAACAAAAGCCACCGCACGAACTCTAATACCTCCTCTTGAGAAGAACCCTCAACACAAATCTTCCTCTTCGTCGACCACAAAAACCTCAGCCTCCTCCAAGACCGACGACCGCCAAAAGACCGTCGACCGCCAACACAAGCCTGACGACTGCCAAAAAACTACCGACCATCAGCACAAAACTGACGACCGCTCCCAAAGAACCGAGCACCGAGCCCCCAATCCCAAAGATAATACTCAACCCAAAAGCACGGATAAATCCTCCGAGCCCAATGCCTCGTCTAAAAACATGGTCCAAGAAAAGCCTTCCCTCGACCAATAGTCCCTCAAGACCCAATCCGCTGGCTCGACCAAAGCACTGGTCAAATCCAGCGGTCCAGATGACACGGGGAGCGAGGTGGCTCTGGGTAAACTTTCTCGCACCGACCAGCTCGAGGCAGTCTGGAAGCGAGGGCGCAACAATTATCTTCCACCTGACCCTCTCGCCCCGAGGTCGACGTCCCTATTGTCAGCCTCCGTAAATGAGGTGGCCGACCGCCTCGAGGGTGTCCTCCTCGAGGACGACCGTAAGAAATGTGGCCCCATATTGCCAGAATTTGGCGACCAGCTTGTTTAGTGGCTTTCCCGGGTAATGCTTCTCTCACGTTTGCCTAGATTTTTTCCCTATCATCTTCTTGTTGCGCATGCATTGAATTGTTTCCTTTTCGTCGATTATAGGGCTTGGTCCAATTCTTGCCTCTAGCCAAAGAGGCTCGAGACAGCTCTGGAAAGTCAATAAAGAGCCTCG